TTCAAGTAGATTTGCCATTAAAGGTACCTCTAGATCAGGTGAATGATCACCTAGGTGACTCATTTCATCTAGCTCTCAACAGGTTTGTCAATTTGGAGAAAAAACTGCACAAAGATGAACAGCTGTTTCAGCAATACAAAAAGTTCATTGATGAAATCATTGAGTTAGGTCATGGTCGTTATATAGATATCAATCAGTATGATTTTAAAAAGGATCCTCTCTGCTTTATTGCGCACCAAGCAGTCATCAATGAAAAAAGTAAGACAACAAAGTTAAGATCAGTACTTGATGCGGCTATGAAAACTAGTAACAAAATATCACTCAATGATCTGCTGCTCAATGGCGATGTAGTACAAAGAGACTTGTTTGGCATACTTTTGTTATTTCGCCTCGGTGAACACATGTTCACCACAGATATAAAAAAAATGTTTAGATGTATAAATTTAAATCCAATGCATGCTTCGTTACAGAACATCCTGTGGAGAGAGAATCCCAACACCGAGATCAAATGCATACAGCTCACAACGGTACAGTTTGGGCTCAAAAGTTCAAGTTTCCTCGCTACACGGTGTCTGGATGAGCTTGCTTCGATTTACAAAGAAGAACTCCCTCTAGCTTCTTTCATACTCAAAAACTGCACTTTTGTCGACGACATTTTATATGCAGAATCTGATGTTGACAAAATGGTAGAAGCCAAAAAACAATTAGTAGAATTGCTAAAAAGAGGTGGGTTTCAAACACATAAATGGGCATCAAACTCTTCTCAAGTTTTACAAGATATCCTCAGAATGAGCAACACTTTGATAACATTGACTTTGAGAAGCAAAATTATAGTTTGAGAGCCTTAGGTATTAACTACAATGTAAAAGAAGACTGCTTCACAGTCTCCTGTCGAAAAATTCGGTGACAGAGCAATTACAAAAGAGAAATCCTCAGTTACTTCTCATAATTCTATGATCCAATTTGTTTCATTTCCCTGATTTTTGTAACTGCAAAAAGCTTTATCCAGACACTGTGGGCAGCTAATATAAATTGGGATTCTCCCTTGACCGGTGTTCTGAAAGAAAAATGGGTGAAATTTGCTAGAAATTTAGATAATATGGCACCAATCACATTAAAAAGGTCGGTATCCATTGCACATGCGCATACCATCGAGCTTGTTGGATTCGCTGACGCTTCGAGCACGACAGCATACGGCTGTTGCATATACCTACGGCTGATACATGAAGGTAAGGCAAGCTTATACCTACTTTGCTCCAAGTCTCGTGTGAACCCGCTTAAAAAACCACTAACTGTGCCGCGATTGGAGTTGAATGCTGCACTGCTGCTTGCAAAACTAATGGTGAAAGTTCACGAAGCTATTAGCACTAAAACGAACGTGCACTTTGTACGCTTGTTCTGTGACTCAAAAATAGTCCTAGCTTGGATCAGGACTCAAGTGACGCAGCTGAATGCATATGTGGCAAATAGGGTACAGGTGGTGACACAATTGACGGCCGAGTGGACTTGGCACTACATTCCCACCAGCGACAACCCAGCAGACCTCATCACTCGTGGCGTGAGCCCGCAGGAGCTGGGAGACAGCGCCCTCTGGTGGTCAGGACCTTGCTTCCTGCAAAATGATAAGTATGAGTATGTAAGTACAGTAGACCTACCTACCAGCCTACCTGAAACGAAGAAAGCTCAAGCTGAAGAATCGATACACAGCCATGTTGCTCTACCAGCAGTGATAGAGGCAAATGATCTGTTTGAAAGGTACTCTGATATTCACAAAATGACTAGAATATTTGCGTACTTATGGCGGTTTTATTACAATTGTAAAACAAAAGATGATAACAAAAGGGTAAAAACCACTTATTTAACGACAAAAGAAATAAATAATTCGTTATTATCAATAATAAAACACGAGCAACATAAATACTTTTCAAAAGAAATAAATTCATTACAAAATAATACACAAATCAAAAACAGTTCATTGAAACCTTTGTGTCCGCATCTTGACAAATTTAACATGTTGAGAGTCACTGGTAGACTGCAAAATGCTGCAATTCCGTATTCGCAAAAACACCCCATCATTCTTCCAAAAGACTCACGCATTACGGATATGGTCATTCAGAGTGAGCACAAAAGATTGATGCACGCCGGTCCAAAACTACTGTTATCAGTATTAAATGAAAGATATTGGTTAATAAATGGTCCTAGACATGTTAAGAAAATTATAAACAAATGTATAACGTGCTTTAAGCTCAAAAAAGAAACTCAAAGTCAGTTAATGGGTAACCTGCCTGAGGAGAGAGTAGTTCAGTCTGCGGGCTGCTTTGAACGTGTAGGTATTGACTACGCCGGTCCAATAGAAATAAAACAGTCCAAGATAAGACGGTCTGTTATCAGTAAAGGGTATATTTGCCTGTTTGTATGTTTCACGACCAAAGCAGTTCACATAGAGCTAGCCTCGGACCTTACAACCGCAGCATTTCTTGCCTGTTTCAGACGCTTTACTTCGCGACGAGGTTTCCCGCATGATGTATTTTGTGATAACGCGGGTAATTTCAAAGGCGCAAAAAACCAATTAGCTGACTTATACAAGCTGGTCAACTCTCAGAGTCATCAGTCACAGGTGATAAATTACGCATTAAAAGATCAAATTCGTTTCCATTTTATACCAAGTTACTCACCTGTCTTCGGAGGGCTCTGGGAGGCGGCTGTAAAAAGCACCAAATATCACCTCAAGCGTGCAGTAGGAAACACCATACTTACATTCGAAGAAATGTATACCGTTCTCACGCAAATAGAGGCAATTTTAAACTCGTGCCCCTGGTACCTCTGTCATCAGACAGCGACGAATTTGCGTACCTTACGCCAGGACATTTTATTACTGGCAAGGCTATAGTATCCTACCCTGATCGTGATCTCACTGACATCCCTATATCTAGGCTTAAACTGTGGAATGTCATAAATAAAATTGTACAGTCATTCTGGCAAACTTGGCACAAATATTACCTAAACACTTTACAGTCAAGGCCTAAATGGAGGGACGAAGTGCAAAATGTAAAAGTAGGAGATCTGGTGCTGCTCCGTGATGACGGTGTGCCTCCCCTCATGTGGCCCATGGGTCGCATCACAAAGCTTTTCCTGGCACGGACGATAAAGTAAGGGCATTCGAAGTAATGACTCCAAATAGAAAGAAACATGTAAGGTCTATAACAAAAATATGTTTATTCCCAATTAACAAAAACGAGTGATTATTTATTAGTCATATGTAGTTCGTAGGCCATCTTAGGATGTGTAATTTGTTACGATGCCAAGAACACCTAAGGTGTATTATTTAGATTTAAGTTTTGAGTCTGATTAGATTTAAGTAAGGCTCTATGTACATGTGTGCAAAATAAGCTTAGCTACTCATTATAGTCTGAGAGCTCACTACTTGATTGTTAATTAGTTTAAGTTTATACCTACAAATAAGTAAATAGGTATGATCTCATTATAAGTTAAGGGTCATTGATCTGCACTATTATTAATTATTTAGTGTTTTTGTACACATAAAGTCTGTGTTACTTTCATGTTGAAAAATGTTCATGTATCTCAATTTTAGTGGGCAAAACTTTCTATGTTTGTTCTTTCCCGCGGCCCCCCAATATGTTGGTAACATTAAGTGCATATATTTAATATGGCAATAATTTGTATTGTGTTCATTCACTCTTACTTGCCATACTCACTCATTCACTCTTCCATAAAATCTGCTATAAGAAATTCTCTGTAATATCTGCTACGTGAAATTACTAAAATAAATAGTGTGTGAAAAGTCTCAAGGTGTTTGCAATCAAAAGTCTCCGTCGCAATTCCTCAAGAACCAACAAAACTACAGTCCACAACACAAGCGCAACGTCGCACAAGTAGTATGTTTGTCTTAAAGGCCAATTTAATATTGAAAATTGAAATAAACTAAATTTATTTTCATAAAGATTCAATCAAAATCTTTGAATCACATAATATTATGATCATTTGGGTACAACACTATTTATTTATTATTTTAAAATACAAAAACGTGGCAACCCACCAAACGTCAGTTCAGTCTATCTGAATAAAAATCCTACTATAGTAACCGTAGCTATGAAACAATAATTGACAGTCGCGAAAATCCTGAATAGGGTCGAGTGATCCTTCTGTAAGTCTCTACTTTGTAATATGACCATTTTTATGCAAAAAAATATGAGTTTCCACCGACGTCACGATCATGAAAAGGGCCAGAAAGTTGAGAGGTAAAACATTACGTTTGGACATGTATCATACTTGTTGTGGAGTGGAGTCCGGGTCAGGAGTTCCAAACAGTAGAGAGAGAGAGAGAGTGTGTAACTCAGAGCTGTCATTTCCACGCGGGTATCACCCGCAAACAAAGACCAACTTTTTCCATAGTTCCCAAACAAACATACGAAACCTGAAATCAGTGTTTCTGAAAACTCTTAGCGAGGTAGGGAGAGGGAATGCAAGCATACAGAAATACTGTTCCTAATTTACTTATTTGATTTAAGGTGTTCCTTCGTAAGTGATCAAATTGCTCTAACAGCAACATTAGTATTATAGTACAGTGCTGTCCGTGCAATTTTCTATAGGAGATCAATTTCTTTTCGTCTTTGAAATTTGGTCCTCATGGAAATTTGTTCAGATTGACCTGATGAGCTTACCGTTTTTAAAAAAGTGGGTCGTTCGTTTTACACAATTTTTCAGACCTAGAATAGAATGGGGTGAACCACAATTATAAATGTTTGTTTTGGCAGAATTTAACAAGCAATGTAACTTTGTAGTTTACATTATTGGTGTTTGGCACGCAAAGTGTTCCGGATACACCTACGCAATCATAGCGATAAAGGCCAACCAAACACATAATCACAATATTATGTTGAATGTTGAACAGAATCAATTGCGAAAACTTTCCCGGTAGATGGAGCCTTCCACGCGTTAGTGGTCACGATACACTTGCTTAATTCGCAGGATAGGAGTGAACCGCTGTAGCCCAGTTGGTAGAGGCGTCGCCATTACAGATGATGAAGGTCGCTGGTTCAAATTCAGCCTACGGTGGAAAATTTTGCATGTTTTCCAAAATTTTACGTAGCTTTTTGCTACGCGGTATCATCTGATTTTCAGCGACAGTAGTTCGTCAGGTGGATTAGCAAGCGCAGTGCAAAGTTTCTGCTCTGCTACTACACTATTGCATCTAGTATAAACCATTATGTCACATTGAGTTCGCCAAGACGAGACACATAGCCTCTGTTTGTTCACTCTACCGCTCGTGTACCTCAGAATGTGTAGCTGACCCACCAAGTAACCTTATATCCGTATCTTGTTTTAATCTAGATTGTTGGCCTCGATTCAGGCAAACGACTTTTATATCCAGTTTTTAGCTATTCCTATCCTTCAGATGCGTTACGTCCCTTTCGAAAAATGTATCATTTTCTGAGCTCCTTCCCAAATCAAAAGAAATGGGACAGATTATCCAACCTTATCACTTCTTATCTCAATAATTATATCGTTTGATATTTATTTTACTCAAAAAATTCACAAAGAATCGAAAACTCATGCCCATATTTTTCAAAAGTTTTTTAATACTTATTTTATTACTTGGTCCGGCGGGCACGACAAGAGGTCGGCCTAACCGACACATCTTCATTAACCGCCAAAGCAAAGTTACATAGGTATGCCAAACTTTTAAGTTCTTTTCTATTTTACGCAAAAATGCCCAGAAATATAAGTTGCCAGAATCGGGAGCTCATTCCCATAATATTTTCTTTTGTTTGTACAACTATCACCCATAATTCACATGGGGCCAAACAAATGCACATATTGTAAAGGACTCATATCAGTTTGTTGGAGATATCAAAAACTTACAGATGAACAGTCATGAAACAATGGTTAGTTTTGATGGCCAATCACTATTTACAGCTATTCCAGTTAAGGACTGTATTGAAATAGTAAAAAGAAAATTAAATGAAAATAACATGGCAATAGAATATGCAGAACTTTTGGAATGGTGCCTAACATCTGGTTACCTATTGTGGAATGATGAGTTCTATGTGCAAGTCGACGGCGTGGCCATGGGCTCTCCAGTATCCCCCTTGGTAGCTGACATCTTCATGGAGGACTTTGAGGATTGAGCCCTGAGGCACGCTCCGGTCGTGCCGAAGATGTATAAGAGGTACGTAGACGACACCTTCACCACCCTCCCAAAAGACAAAGTTACTGCTTTCCTAAATCATCTAAATTCAATCCATCCTAATTAAAATTCACAATAGAAACAGAACAAAACAATCAATTAGCATTCTTAGATATTCTATTGATTAAAAACCCAAATGGTACAATCAGTCACTCCTTATATAGAAAACCAACCCATACAGATAGGTACCTAAATGGTAACTCCCAGCATCATCCGAGCCAGTTAGCTGCCGTTGGAACCTCTTTGTTTCAGAGAGCACGCGGCATCTGTGACCCCCAACACCTAGATGATGAGCTAAAACATGTGAGACGAGTACTCCATGAAAATGACCTGAAACCACCTCGTCAACGTCACAGAAACCGTGCCAAACCATCCACAGTCGAGCGACAACCAGCATACTTACCATACCTAAAGGGAGTAACTGACAAGATCGGCAGAATTCTGAAGCGAGCTTCAATCAAAACCATTTTCAAGCCGCCAAGGAAGATCAGCCAGTACATCAGATCAGTCAAATGCAACATCCCCCTCCAAGATCCTGGTGTTTATAAACTTGACTGTGACTGTGGACTCTCATACATAGGGGAAACAAAGAGGAATGTATCTACACGTCTCAAGGAGCATATTGCCGATGTGAGAATCCGTCGTGACAGACAGTCTGCAGTGTGTGAACATGTCATGGATAATCCCACCCACTATATCAGGTTCGACAAGGCTGCAATCCTAGCGAGAGAGAAGAGATTTGTCCCTAGGAAGGTACGGGAAGCCATAGAAATTCAAAAACATCCGAATTTCAACCGAGACACTGGATGGGGCATCTCACCAACTTGGACTCCACTGATTACACAGCGGAAGAACTAAATCCAACATACTGCAAGACCAACTTCACAAGACACGGTATCTGCATTCTGCGTACAACCGGAACGTTATGCTAGGCAATTAAGAAATATATGGCGGTAGAACAAAAATAATTTTAAATTCTAAATAATGACGTCTAACACCTTAGTCATCCGTTGACCACGGACACTGCAAAGTGTCCGAAACGTCGGGTTAATTACAATCCTAAATAAACTACAACTAAAATCCGTTGAAGTTGTTTTAATTATGAGCTCATTCCCATATTTTTCAAAACTTTTTTAAATACTTATTACCTTGGTCCGGCGGTGCCGTCGGGCGACAAGAGATCGGCCTAACCGACACACCTTCATTAGCCACCAAAGAAATGTTACAGGTAATCTAACCTTATAAATTCTTTCCTATTTTCCGCAAAAATGCCCAAAGATATAAGTTGTCAGAATCGAAAGCTCATTCCCATATTTTTCAAAACTTTTTAAATACTTATTACTTCGGTCCGGCGGTGCCGGCGGGCGCGACAAGAGGTCGGCCTAAACGCCACAATATCTTCATTAACCGCCAAAGAAAAGTTACAGGTAATACAACCTTATAAGTTCTGTCCTATTTTCTGTAACAAATGCCTAAAGATATAAGTTGCCAGAATCGGAAGCTCATTCCCATATTTTTCAAAACTTTTTTAAATACTTATTACCTTGGTCCGGCGGTGCCGGCGGGCGCGACAAGAGGTCGGCCTAACCGACACATCTTCATTAGCCGCCAAAGAAAAGTTACAGGTAGGTAATCCAACCTTATAAGTTCTTTCCTATTTTCCCCAAAAAATGCCCAAAGACATAAGTTGCCATAATCGGAAGCTCATTCCTATATTTTTTCAAAACTTTTTTAAATACTTATTACCTTGGTCCGGCGGTGCCGGCGGGCGCGACAAGAGGTCGGCCTAACACATCTTCATTAGTCACCAAAGAAAAGTTACAGGTAATCCAAACTTATAAAATTCTGTCCTTTTGTCCGCAAAAATGGCCAAAGATATAAGTTACCAGAATCGGAAGCTCATTCCCATATTTTTCAAAACTTTTTTAAACACTTATTACCTCGGTCCGGCGGTGCCGGCGGGCGCGACAAGAGGTCGGCCTAACCGACACATCTTCATTAGCCGCCGGTAATGACGCTCCAGGGAAATACGCCTAATGTTGCTTTCACACCGGGCTTAATACAACGCCACTGCGCTCTTAAATCATTTTTCGTTGATATATTTTTGGACATCGCATGGAAATAGGTACTCAAAATTATTTTTTTAGATTGTGTAGTTGAGAGACAGATAACAAAATTAGTATTGACACGTCTGCGACGGCTATTATATTAAGTCATCAAAGTAATGAACTTTACACGACCTCTTTTAGTTTCAGTGCGTAAATGAAGTTTGAAACAGGCAGGACTCAAACATTTTTGACGTGTACCCAGGTGTACCCTCGTCAGTTCATATTTCTGACTCCGATCACATTCGAAGACTGGAATTTGACGTAAAAATGTGACAGACATTCTTAAATCAATAGTGCGTGCACCCTATGAAACGCCCAAAGTTACTTTGTCGCACAAAACATAATTAAATTCTATCTTTGCCAAAATCTAGTAAAAAGGTACAAAGTAAAGCCAATTTATTTACCGTTGTTTTTGAAGCGATGTGGAACTGCCCAGAGAAACAAACCTATCTATTATCTCGGCTCGCCCAATTCCGCCAACCTCCAGATATTTCAATTAGCTTAAAATATGCACAAAAATGTATTATTCATATTTTCATGTTATTAATTGCAGCGGTACATTTACATAATTTTAACTGCTTCGAGTAAATTAAAAGGTACTCTTACATTGCGTGTCAGCAACTGTGCCAACAGTGGGTAAGTCGCAGACATTCGTCAACAACTCAACAATTTTGAATCACTTGAATTTCGTACTTATTTGCTGCCGCATGTCTAATGATCTATGGGCTACAACTACAACCACCCGGAAACCAAGAGTCGACAGACGTCGTCGCGGGAGGCCCAGACGCAGATGGCGAGACGATCTAGACGGGTTTTCTAAAGATTGGCATGCCGAGGCACAGGATCGGGATCATTGGAAGAAGGAGAAGGAGGAGGCCTGCAGTTAGATCCAGATGGCTAAATTAGATAAGACTTAATTGCTCTTAAATCGTTTCAAAATCTTGCATTTTACATTGTACCTATATTATATACTATCGCCAGTAACATCACCTACCCATTTATTTACCCTGGATTTGCTAGCGATAGTACTTGCATCTCAGCAACAGTCAGAGTTTTTTTTGTTAAAACGTAGTGTGAGAACACCAACAAACTTAATAAAATTGTGTAACAAAGTACACTGTAACTTCAGTATTCAATTACAGCTTGTCGAAATAGCCAATCAAAAAAATAATAGAGTAATGGATGTCATTTTACTTAAATTGTATGAAACAACATTGAGCTTCAAAATTGTTAGGTTGCAAAATCCAGTTTCGCAAACGAATATTTATGTTTTCGGTTAAGTAGAGCGTTTTTTGTAGAGTCCCAACAACATTAAAGTTTTAAAAATATAACTTAGTAGCACTAAAATGCTAAAAATGTTGTTTGCAGTAAAACAGTCGCAACTCTCTGCTTGCTGCAATGCTTTCGAAATTAAAAGTTTGTTACGAAACGTAGGCATGGAACGGAACGTCAAAAGTTGCGCTCGTGTGAATTTCTGATTATACTAATTCTGGTGACTTTCAAGCATTTTTTAGTCGTTAAAAGTTTGAATATCTCAACACTGGATAATGGTTTTCAATTCAAGGTAAGGTCATGAAAAATCGCTCCGATAAACATAAACTTGCAATGCACTTATCAATTCTCTAGCCAGGCTTATTTCTAGCTTCTTTTCTTCTGATTGGGTTAGATAAAGACCTACCTAGGTACATATTATCACAGGCGTCCTAGAGGACTCTGGTTTTGTTATTTCCTCAGGGTCATAGCGTAACAAATATGCAGGC